AATTTAACTGGCCCCTTAAATTGTATCCCCTTCCCTTTCATTAAATAGTTTTTGAATTCCACCAGGCAATAAATTGTTCCTAACTTTATACATGAACATTGCAGTCTTATATCCCACTAAATCGAAAAATTTTAACAATTTAGACTGTATGAAAGCTCCATTGGTGTGATCCCTGTACCCCATCTTATGCACAATTCTTATCGCTCTTTTTTGTAATATATACAATGGTTGAAGTGAGCTTTTGTATGTATTTCCCCAGTTTTCAACGCCATACTCTAAGTATGGTAAAATCAATGAAGAATACAAAATGCGTAGTGCTCTCCCGTCCAAAATATATCTAACCCTTGCCAATATCGATATATTTTTTGCTATTTTGTGCTGAACATATCTGATATGAGATTTCCAGGAGAATTTGTCATCAACTATGACACCTAGAAATTTAATTTCATATACTCGTTCTATATTAGCTCCCCCAATTTTCAATTGAAGTTTATACTTTCAATTGAAATTATACCACTGGTGTATCTCAGTGACCCCATATTTTCCTCCTTTTCCTTGGTTATTTATTTATGTAAAAGCCTGTGGGCCCTGGGTTTACTGATACCTAGGAGGCTAAGTTCTCTCTTGTGGCTGCTTGTGGTTTGAGACACAAAGCCAAACTCCTCTTCAGACATAGAGGATTACAAAGACTGCATTATGATAGATTAAAAATGTTTGACATCAAGTTCATACCATAAAGCCTTTGCTCTGTCCTCACTTCCTCATTTGGAATATGCAACCTTTGTTTTCAGCCTTTGAGGGAACAAATGACAAAAATAATGTTGCCATCTGACACAAACAAATATCCTCTGTGTAGGGCAGGTCTGGGTCAGTGGCAAGTCTGATGGCAATATGTGTGAATGGCCCTATAGACACTGTACATTAGTTTATAGAATCTCATCCTGAGGTCCAGGCCTTCCAGGTCACTCAAACTCCTTCCGCATGTAATCTTTTACCAGAATTTTATGATAACTGGAAAATTTCAGACTTACTCCTGTCAGACAGCTCCCTGGGATCACAGAAACCTCACATCTCCTTTGAAGGTGGCACTCACAGTTTGTTCAGAGGACAGGCTCATTAGTAGGAGATGTCTCTGCATAACAAAGCAGTTCCAGAAAGCAGGAGGGCCCAAGGTCTGTGCCAGCTGCAGTTATAGTATTTCAGTGGTAAAAATAGATAGGAAGTTACTGTGATCTCAGTCAGTAATGGCAGTGAGCAAAAACTGACACTTTGAAATTTGATGTCATATGTGTATACTGTTTGCAAACAAGATAACTGAAAAGGAGAACTGTAGTCCTGATGTGACAATTTGTGTCCACATTTTTTGATAAAAGTAGTCAGACTGCAGTCATTGAGACAGCAGTAGGAACATGCAGGTCAGTCACAAAATAATAACGGACTTGGAGCCAGAGCCCCACTGTTGTGTGTGGCCCATTTTCTGGCTTACTGGCACACCAAAATAGAATAGAGTTATTATAAATGTTAATGCCTTGTATTTTTTTAATCAGCCTATCCTATGGAATTATTTGATATAAGAAGGCATGTAAGAATCATGCACACCAGAAGCTGTGTACAGTATACAGTAAATGTATTTGTGTATTTTCTATATCACAGCCAAGCAAAGTTATTTTATATTCATACACCAGCCTGCCAGATGTA